AACCTGCAAATCACAGTGTTCAAATTTGGCACTTTTCGGGGTTCATTTGCCATATTTAGGGGATTATGTGCATTTCCTAGGCATTAATGCGCATAATTCAAGTTCAAACAATCGGTGCATGAAAGGGTCCACAAGAACGGCCTGGAAAACCATGTTAGTGCCATTTAGTAAATTCTCATGCCTTTTACAAGGAATGGACAGATATTTCAATGAAATGTGTGGCAATAGTCAACCACAAATGTTTGTTTGTTGGGTTTTCAACTATAGAAAAAATGGAATAAATGCTTAAAAACATGAGGCCTAGCATGCTGCCATGATATGACCTCACCATGTGCTGGTAAAAATTTGAGGAGATTTGGCTTATGTCTTCATGCACGCCGTTCATAAATCGAACCATCACCGAGGAAGTTCCACGCTTTCGAGAGGGAAATCCCCAAGATTAAAGGGGAATCCAAATTTTCTTCGTTCTTTTCCCTGGAGTTTTTTTCTACGACGAACATACACCTTGCAAATCACCGTGTTCAAATTTGGCATTTTCTCGAGCTCATTTACCATATTTAGGGGATTATGTGCATTTTCTAGGCATTTGGGGCATATAAATCCAATCCAGCTACAGGTGCGTGGGTGTGATGTGAGGGACATGAATTGCCATTCGATCGCAGCGCATCCTATGGTGCATACACACGATCCGCATGGCTGTGGTTCCGGCCAATTATCACGCAACACACAATAGGCTCAATGCACACTGTTTCCGGAAGCGACGGAGATGAACCATGTGCGATAATGAATGAGCTAAATTGTAAGGGAAGCCAAATTTCTGTTGTCGTTTGTCGTTGAGCTCTTGAATACCACTGCCTGTCCCCTCCGTCCCACATCTCTCTCCAGGCGTAGTCCATGGCACCACAGCGCACAGTAACTGGTAAGGAAGCGATGGCATCCCGCTGCGCCGTGTTCCTCACCGCCCATGACCGCACACATGGTAAGGAAGCGATGGCATCTCGCCGCGCCGAGTTCATCAGCGCCGGCGGCCAGACAGTTACATGGGCAGACTTTGAGGCTGCCATGGCAGAATGGGTGGTGGATCTAGTGGTGGCCAAAGCCACACAGAAGGAGCGGAAAAGGGAGAAAGTTGTTAAGAAAAGAGAGTCATGTTTCCGCAAGAAAAAAGAGGCTGCACTCCGTGGTGAGGCGAGCTTGGCGGAGATCGAAGCACGGTGGGCTGCCGCCTACAAGGCCGGGAAGGAGAAGGCCGACGTCTGGCCAGCATACCTCGATGGCAGCATGTGAGAACTAGTTTAAGTTTCTAGTATTAGAGCAAATAACCAGTAGTACTTTAAGTTTGTAGTATTAACGTACAATGTCGGCAAGAGCATTCTTTGAGGGCTTTGAGCGTTGATTGGCATGTGTGCCCATGTGCATTTTTTGCATTAATCATTAGAAGATCACAAAACACACGGTTTCTATGCCATACTCGTCTACATTTTTTTGCATTAATGACCCATAAGTCAGTTACCTGTGCGATGTTTCCTAATAAACCAGGCATACCATTCACCGAAAAAAATCAAGTACACGTGCACATATTTTTCGAGACGGTATCTACCAACTTTCTTTTTTCTCGCACATGAGTATTTTACGCGCTTCATCTGTGTTGTGTGTTTCCCCTGCCCAAGTTTCATGTTTTGCAGCGAAATTTTCATTAGGCGCGCGATTTCAGAATTTATTTCTCCAACCACATCCCTACCCTAAGTATCCCCCCTCTCGCGCCTCCCCCTACCGGCATCTCAAACCGCCGCCGCCGCAACCACGGCTTCAACCACATCTACGTTTTTCTCGGATCCAGACAGGTAACTCACCGATCTCTATCACGGCCTCAGCCTGATTGCTTAAAT